TATATATATATATATATATATATATGGTATTATATAAATTCTCAAGTACATTTTAACTTTATTAAATCAAATGATAAGTGTTGCGTTCTGGAATATTCACGGAAGTAGAGAAATATAAATTTTAACATCTTAGCTTTGTACGAAGATCCAGCACGCAATCAGATAAGAGAGATGGTGCAACATTCATAAGATCAGACACCAAGATTTTTACATGGAAAATCCTGAAAAGGAAAAAATCATGGGGTCTAACCTAGTTTGAATGAATCCACTATAATTCGTAGTCTATTACAAATAAGGCCCTTCCTTTAAGAAAGGCCTTGACTCGATGTAATAAATATATATCATATAATATGCATTACATGGTGGGACTTGAATGCATCAGTATTGATATGTTGGTTTGGTCAACAAAACTATAGTCGGCGGGTGACGGAGGTCAGAAAGACCATTGTCTGACGATGAAGGTCGAAAGGACTGTATTCGATAGGCGACGGAGGTCGGAAGGATTGTTGTCTGATGACATAGGTCGGAAGGACCGTAGTGGGTGGGCAATTGAGGTTAGAAAGATCTTTTTCTGGCGACAGAGGTCAGAAGGACCGTTAATGGGCGGAAGTCCGGCGTCAGGTAGAAATCCGACGACGGGGGGAAGTCCGACATCGGGTTGAAGTCCGACAAAAGTCTAGCGACGATCAAAAGTAAAGCAATGGGTGGAACTCTTGCGTCAGGCAGAAGACCCGCAAAGAGTAGAAATCTGGCGAAGGGCGGAAGTTCGGCTTCTGGTAAAACTCCGGCGGTTGATGGAAGTCCGACGTCGGGTTAAAGTTCGACGGAAGTCCAATGACTTGCAAAAGTCTAGAGATGGGCAAAATTTTGACGTTGGGTAGAAATCTGATGACGGGAAGAAGTCCAGTGTTAGATAGAAATCTGAGGACGGGTAGAAGTCTGGCGCCCGGCAAAAATTCGGCAACAGGCTGAAGTCTGTCTTTAGTTAGTGGAATGGCAGAAATCTGCCAGCAATTGGTGGTCGGGGAGAAATCTAGAGTCCGCTTGTAGTCGGGTGAAATTTCGGCGGAAGTCGGTGGCTAGGCTGAAGTCCGATGGTGGTCGATGAGTCTGGTTTGAATAATGAGGGGTCTATGTATAATTTTCTAAGAGTGGCATGGCCACTAAATAGGAGGAATATGAAGGCTAAGTTGGGAGTGATTCGAATGGATGACAATGTTTGAATCCCTTGATTGTGGATCGTTTATTGGACATTTGAATGTCTTAATGATATCTGAATTTATCGATCTTGGGCGTATTGGATTTGTCTCGTGAAGCCGCTCGATTAGACTATAAACACGTCTCATTTGGTAATCAAAATTATGGATTGAACCTTCCAATTGCGCGTCAAGTCTTTGATTTGGACTCATTTGAAATCGGATTGAGTCAAATTTGGTGTCATTGGGTTAGTATTTCTGAGACGTTCAGTTCAACTGTAAGTTTGATGAAATCAGAGTTCATATGATCTCTTATTTAATTTTCAAACTTTCTAATCTTGATTTTGCTTTGATATTCGTGCCTAATCAACATAATTTTTTGATGATATATCAATAAGTTAATTCTTTAGGATTTGTTTGAAATCTTTTTGTTATAAATAAATATATTTAATTCATTTTATATATATATATATATTTTTATGAATTAGGTTCCTAAGGTATACACTACAAGAAAACGCGCTATTACCGTCGGATCTTCCGGCAGATATATATACGCCATAAATTACGGCATTTTTACTAGCTTTCTATGCGACGGTAATATTACGACGGAGTTATCGACAAAAATGACGCCGGTATTGCTCCGACTCATTTTTCATCGACATATACATCGTAATCTGTAAGCATATTATGTAATGTGGTGTATTTTACACCAAAAATTCCTGGCATATGTATTGACGGATATGACGTCGGTCATTTTAAACACAATGAAATATTACCGTAAAAAAATTGATGAAAATACTTCCAGCATATTATCCTCCGGAAAAATCGTAGGTCAAAACCTTATTTCTCGCCCAAGCCTATCTGCCTTATTATTTCATTTTGCCATTTTGTTTAGGTCTCTGCTCGCCTCCGTCGCCCCACCGAACCTCGCCGTTGTCGAGACCGTCCGGACTTCAACGGACTTTGCTGACGCTCACCGCCTCCGTTGCCAGCGAAACACCACAATTTTAAGGAAAATCTGCCATTTTGTTTAGGTCTCTGCTTGCCTCAGTCGCCCCTACGTCACCCCACTAAACGTCACCGTTGTCGAGACCGTCCGGACTTCCAGGGACTTTGTCGACGTTCACCACCTCCATCGCCTGTGAAACGCCACAATTTTAAGAAAAATCCACTGTATGTTTTTTATTTTTTCGTTGATTTTCTTAGTAGAAATTTGCATAGAATGGTGAGGAGATTGTGCCTTAGTGTATGCATAGTATATTCTTTTTTAATGCCATTTTTCACTAGACATTTGCATAGAATTGTTTTCTTACTATACACCAGCTGAACGCCTTAGTGTATGCTTTTTTCTTATGTCGTTTCTCTTCTTTCAGCTTACCTCCATCACCTCAGCTGAACTTCACCGCTACCGAGACCGACCCTTCACCCAACAGACTTCAACCTAGTCTGCCAACGCTCGCCGCCTCAGTCGCCAACTTTGTCCACTTTAAGATTTTATTTTTTCATGTATTTTTTCATTAGACATTTGAAAGAGGATGTACCTTGGTGTATGCTTTTAGCTGATGATATTATTCATATTGATATGACTAGAGAGAGTTGAAGTACAAGACTTAGTGAGGAGATTATGATTTTGGGTGAGCAAGTCGTTAATAAGAGTACATGTTTTAGATATATTTGATTTATTATTCATAGTGTTACATATATGAGGATACTCAGGTGGATGAGTGGCTTTACCCTTAGAGATAGATTCTGAAATGAGCATATACGTGATAAGGTTAGAGTAACTCCATTGGAAGATAAGATTAGAGAGAGTCGCCTTAGATGGTTTGGGCACATAAAATGGCTATAGTTATAGGAAGAACATAATTAAGTGATTGTGGTTAGCAGGAGAGTATACAAGCGATGGAAGTCGGAAAGATCATAATCAAGATGTTAAGTTATCAACTATCGTCATCTCCTTATTTACATTTAAACAAGAATTTGACTTTTAACAGAACACAATGGAGAAAAAGGATTCATATAGTCGGCCTCACGTAGTGAGACAAAGGCTTGATGTTGTTGTTGTTATTGTTGTTGAAAATATCATTAGAAAATAGATAAAAGGCACCTTGAAATTTATCTTTTTCTCTTTAAAAGATGTTCAAATAATATCTGATTGCTCCATATTAATGTAGGTTATTTTATAGATATTTAAAATCAAAGAATTTGGTTGTATAACCGATTGGCGCAAGGACAAAAGATATTAACAGATGAATTCATTAATGGGGTAAACATTTTCATTTAGACAGCGAAACAACTATCCAGCTTCATATCAGATGGAATGTTTCGATGTCTATATTCTAAATATAAAAATTAAGTACACCTAAGACCAGATGATATAATTATTGATTTGTATCGCAGAGAGTTCATGCCATAATATTGGTATTATATTTCTCATGGTGAGTACGAGCCATATTTTGATTCTCGACGTGGTCCATCTACAATTAATAATATAGTTGAGGATGAAAATATTTTTATTTTTAAATGCAAAGAGATTTTTGTTAGTTGTCCCAACACAATGATAAAATTAGAAAGAATTTTGAGAAGCGTGGGTCAACTCGAATGCCTGACATATTTACAAATATTAGAAAGTCTGACAAGCGACCACTATGGATTGGAGAGATTATATGGGCTGAGATGAACACTGCTTGGGACAGCGTAGATTATAGCAAGAGGGGGGATCAAAATTGACAGAATAGAGCTTCTGATGTTGGGGGCATGGATAGTTCTCTTAATACTGGAGGCTCAGTTCCACATACTGAGCACAAGCAACATTTGGTAATGAATTTTAAAAGTTTTTAAAAATTTTCTTTAAGAGAAATATTAATGGAATTCTATTACAGAAAGAGATGCTGGGTAGAGAACCAACTCCTGTGGAATTGCCTAGTCACACCCATAAGCGACAGGAGGATCAAAAATGGGTTAATGAGCGAGCAAGAAAAGCCTACATAAGTATATGTGTTTAATAATTTTTTATTTTATGTTTAAATAAATTGCTTACATTTTTATGAACTTTCACAGGAGGAGTATACACGACTTCGAGAGAGTTAGACCGCTGCAGGTGAGGGTTCTTCTAGTGGCTCTGTAGAGTATTCTAAGTACCGCGTCTAGTCGCAAGCCGTAGGAGGAATGCAACATGGCAGAGTTTATGATTTAGATTCGCAAGCCTAGGCATACGTACGAGGGGATGACCTCTAGTTGATCCAGCTTTGCAACAAGTTCATAGGAGTCCTTACATAGTCAACATATAACTTTCCTTCAAGCGGAGCTATAAAAAGCAAGAAAATCACAAGTTGATTGGTAAGTGCAGTTGCAGACACAGATACAGATGCAGATGCAGGAGCAACATAATCAGTTGTTGGATGAAATGCGAAAAATAAGGGAGTAGTTGAGTGGAAAAGAGGTAGCTCCAGTGGAGAATTAGTCGACGGATTCAGAGTAGTTGTTTAGTTTTTTCAGTTTCATATGAACTTTTATCAGTTTCTGAATGTTTCATGAATTTTATTAATATTTGTTGAAGTTAATGAACAATTTATGATGTTTTGAGTATTTTGGTGATATTTTTGAATATTTGATGATGTGCTGTGAAAATATGTGTTGTGGAAATATGTGCTGTTGAGTAGTTATTTTTGAATATTTGTAATTGTAAACTGCAGATATGAAAATCTGATTGTTGTATGGGAATGTTATTTTTTTTTATTTTTGCTACATATTTTTGGCAGATAAGACGTTAGAAATCCGTCAAAAATGATGATACAATGAATTTTGTATCGATTTTTGGCGTCCTTACTGGCCTCGGATAAATGTGCCAGTTATCCCCGTAGTTTCTTTTTCGGCGTATTAGCGACGTTTGTTCCACCGAAATTACAGGCGTATTTATACGCTGATAATTCCAGCGTATTTAACACCAGAATAAGTGAATAAAAAGAGACATAACTACCACCTACTTATCCGCCGGTTGTGTGCTGGAAAGTACGTCAGAAAGATTTACAGCCTATTATTTACGTCGAGAAAAATTTCCGACGCGCAAATTACCGTCGTATGAAAATCCGGCAGAAATGCGACGGAAACTTTATGTTTCCATCGAAAAATTAATGTTACCGGCATATTTTGTCCGCAGGTAATAGCGGGTTTTCCTGTAGTGATATGTTATGATGCTAATTTTTCTCATATAAAGAGTGAAAAGAACAAAATAAATAAAGAGACCTAAAATAAATAATTTTTAAAAATATTTTAATCTTTGGGCAATAATTTTTTTATTTAAATGAAAATCAAATTGTTTAAGATTGTATTATAGATTCACCTTATCATAATACTTTTTAGGATTCTCTATCATAATACTTTTTGGGATCTCCCCTAAATGTGCATAATCAAGGCCTATTTGTCGATTTATGGAATAACAATTTTGAATATTTATTTGAAAAATAAAGACATTCCAATGGACGATCAAAGTTGGTCTCATTGATCATTCTCTTTAATGATATCAAATGGAGTATTATTGGTCTCGCTTGTTGTAGTCGACACATTGAGGCATGCATTTTAACCATAAACATATGATATTCGAATGTTGCTTGGTCCCTCAAATTATTAAGTAAAATTTTTAATTGTACCTCATGACTATTTAAGTCAATTTAAACTCAGATCAATGTGTTATATGTATCATTGACAAGACTCATATCTCATCAAGATGCTCATTTTATTTATAACTCCATAGAATATAAATTTTAGATGATCTCGAAGTTTATTTTAAAGGTTTCGATTTTATTATTTTGATGCTTTAAGATGTAAAAAATTTACATTACAGTTTGTGCGCTCGATCAAATAATTTTTTTATGAATATCAATACATATTTTAGAGAACAGAATTTTCCTCAATCGAACCAACAAGCTAAAAAGAAATTCTCTTATCATTTAGAACTTAACTATCCTTAAATTAAAGCATAATTGTTCAAATTAGCATCTATCCATATTTCAAACCTAATCATCTATACTCAATTTATCTTTGGGGCCTAGAATTCCCTACATTTAGGTTGGCCATGCTCTCACAAACTTAATTACTCACATTAAAGCTTCGTTTGGGGGCTACGTTTTTTAACTGCTTTATAAAGCAGTTTTTTAGTATAAAATTTTTTTGAACTAAAAATTTGTGTACTAAAAAACAGCTTTAAAAAGCATCAAGAAAGCCGCCCTGAATAAAGCCTAAAACAAATACTAATATGACAAAATGTTGGCCATTAGCCTTCAGATTAATAAAACCTTTTCATATTAAGAGCACAGTATCATTGATATTTTCCTTCTCGGAAAAAAAAAATCATGATAACTATAAATGCAACAGGAATCATCTGGTATCAAATTAATCCACACCAACACAACTAGACTTCTCTCCCCAACTTTTCTCCAGCACTGAATTGCTGAATCTTCACAAAGAACAAAAGAAGCTACCAGGACTAGCCAAGAATGCAGATTCCATAAAGCTCTTATTCTCATGGTAGACAGGACTCAGCTCATGATGAAATAGATTAGAGTTCATAAAATCCATGACAGAAGGAGAGAAAAGGTTAGGAGATGATAATTCTATAGCTTCTGCATCATTCTCTGGCTTCAAGGCGATGATTTGAGAGTCTGTAGACGAAGAAGAAGAAGCTTTGGTATTGGTAGCAGTGGATGAGAAGCCTGTGAGACGTTGAACGAGAGACATGAATTCGTTTGGATTGGTGTGGATGACTTTGGGAGAGACTGTGTATATGATTATGGGAGGCTTGATGATCTTGTGGGAGTCTTTCTGGAGCTTAAGAGGAGAAGGTCGAGGTCCATGGAGCTGGTTTTTTCGCCCTAAAGATGCAGGCTTTCCTCTTGGTTGTAGAAAGAGATCCATGGAGTTGGGAAGACGAAGCTAGATAAGAAGTATGAGGGGAGAAGGGAAGAAAATAATAGTTTGGCGTGTGAGCTTAAACAGTCCCAAGGATGCTAATTTATAAGAGTAGGGATTGATGAACTGAATTTCTTGAAAAAAGAAAGAAGCTATTTAAAAATAAAAAATTACTTACAAAAAATAAAGGTTTTTCATGTAGAGACTTGATTATATTAATATATAAATAATTTTTTAAATAAAAATTGATGATAACTCTAATTTTATCTATCTTCAAATAAAATAAATGTTAAAACATATATTATAGATTAAAAATAAATATTAATTTATCTTAAATCATATAAAAATAATAGTAGAAATAGCCAACTTGAAGAGTTAGCGTGTTTTATTGTTCTTAGTGTTTTTGAGTGATAATTAGTTGAATTGAGTGACATGTGGATGATGGAGGTGTCTTCATAGCGCCATAGCGGTTAAGTCTTAGTCAAACTTTATTAGCTCTATGTAAGATGATGAGAGCAAGTGATCACAAAGATTAGATTTGGGAAATTTTTTATGAACCGGATCATTAATGAATGAGAATTTTAGCGTAAATTAATCGACTTTTTCATATAAAAATCGGTTTATTTCCAACTAAAAATCGGCTTTTCCCATTAAAAAATTGGTTTTTTTCATGTAAAATTTGGGTTTTTCAACTATTGTGGCTAAAGGGTGCTTAACTAGCTCTTCCATCTCTTCACATGTCTGCCCCAATTCTGCCCTCACAAAAATTATTACGTGCGAAGTTCAAATATAGAGTTGTGTTCGAACTCTAGTCAAATCAGAATACATGGCCAATACACATTAATACATGGCTAATACATGTTTTTTTATATTATTGTGAATAAACAGTCAATACACAGCTAATACATAATAAATACACAGCTAATATAGAATAAATATATAGTTAATACACAACAACAACATCAAGCCTTTGTCCTACTACGTGGGGTCGGCTACATGAATCCTTTTTTTCCATTGTGTCATGTTAAAAGTCAAATTCTTATTTAAATCTAATAAAAAAAGATCATTTCTAATATTTTCTAACCAAGTATTTTTAGTTCTACCTCTGCCTTTCTTAATATAAGTTAAATCTAATAGCTCTACTTTCCTGATCGGGTAATCGAAAGATTGTCGTTTTATGTGACCAAATCATCTAAGGTGACTCTCTCTAATCTTATCTTCCATTGGAGCTACTACAACATTTTCACATATATGCTCATTTCGTATCTTGTCTCTAAGGGTAAAGCCATTCATCCACTTGAGCATCATCATCTATGCAACACTTAATTTAATATAGTTAATACACGGTAATATAAAAACTATATATTTACCATGTGTCATATTTGATTCGACTCCGAATACAACTCTACGTCCGGACTCATATAATAATTTCTCCGGCTCTTGTGTTTATTTATTTTGAAATTTTCTTCATCATAAAACTCTAAAAATACTCTATGATGGAGAAATGAAGGATTTGATGAGATTTTGACAAAGAAAATTGGTGTGCTACTCTTTAGAGGAATGCTTAATTTATAGTAAACTTCAACACTTTGAAGGAGTTTGGTGATTTTCTCTTGCTTGCTACTTTGATGAGTTGTAAAAATAATATGTTATTTCCTTAAATCCTATTATTTATTATTATATAAACCTTCTCACATCTAACCATAACATTTACAAAATCATTCCCTAGCCTTCCTCAACCCTAAAACCCTACAAAACCATCCAATGAAGCTTTTGGCCATGCCATGATTCAAATAGGCATAATATTGTTCTAACTCCCATTAGACCATTCAAAAGCCCTCGATTAAATAACTAATGCTTCAAAAAAATATTGGGCACATTCATTCAACTAGTGAAAGAATTTTAAATCATTGAAGTTTCCACATTTTCCCTCACTAAAATTTTAAACCTCAACTACCACTCTTTTACCTAAGTTCTCATCTAACACTAATTTGGCCACCATTATTCATAAAATCTAATTACAACCACTCCTCCACCAATCCATCCAATGATTCTTCAATATTCCTCTTGACGCCCCAGATTTTAATGAAAGAATTAAAATTCTGAACTTTTTTTTCTCAACCACAATACCAAAAAAAAGGGAAAAATACAAAATAAACTAGAGCTATATAAAAAATTCAAAATAATATTAACAGTTTAAATGTGATGCCCTAAAATCTAATTTCTTAAGGATTTTCACTAGTATCCAAAAATTATGAAAAACATTGTGTAATTAAAATACTACGATCTCAATGCTATGACGAATACAGTTTATGATTTTGATTTATAGTGACTCCAGTGAAAAAATATTTAGCAGAGTCAATATGCGGGCTATTACAATCTACTTACCTTAAAAAAATGTCGTCCTCAACGTTTCATTTAAGGATTAATGCATAAAATCGATATAAACCAAATTTATACAATCAAAACTCATACCAATTATCATGCCAAGAATAGCAGAGAACATACCACAAGGGTTGAAAGCCCACAGTTCACTAAGCATAATGGATAGCAAGTCCACAACAAACAACAACACAGAGTAGAAAAATAGAAGAAAGCATGTTTACTTTACAGAAAAGATTTAACAACTAAACAAATTGGATATAAAATTGCATAACACAATCAGAAATGAAAATCCATAACCAAGAGACAACATAACAAAGGCTACACAAAAATCCATGAACAATAAAATTACATAAACCACAGTTCATATGGCAAACTGGATAGCAGGTCAATAACAAGCAACAGAACAAAGGCTGAAAGCTCATGACTCACAAGTCACAAGTCATAATGGATAGCAGACCATAAAGGCTGAAAGCCCATAACTCACATGGCATAATGGATAATAGACCACAAATTAAGGTTGAAAGGCCACAGTGAAAGGAAGAATGCATAGCAATTCCAGAACAAACAACACAACATAGTATAAAAGATAGAAGAAAGCAGGTCCACAACTAACTAAATAAAATAATTGACAGCCACAAGGTTCTTCATCATGGATAATACCAATATTCATTATAAAATATAAATTTTATAAATAAGAACTTCCATACCATTTATATTGTAATGTTTAAGATGATATATTCACTGAGTCATTCACGACTCCAATTTGGTTTCCGTCGAAATCTAAGGCCATGATGATACTGCTTCAAGCTCAGAGACTTTTGTATCTATAACCAAAACAACAATATAGGTTAACATATTTAGTAAATTAAACTATAAGTAAGACATGTACTATTATTACCTTGTTCACCATACAACCAATCTTAGAAAATACCAATGCTTCAACAATATCATGTTCCAATGCACTTCGATATTAGTCTATAATTCTATCACTATTTCTAAAAGCACTTTCGGATGCAACAGTAGATATTGGAATGCACATAACATCACTGGACATACTCAATACATGATGAAATCTGTACTTATTACCTTCCAATACTGTAAAATATCAAACTCACTATTTTTATCTAGCTTGGGTTCATCTAGATATATTTTATGTTCCAACTTTCTTAGCTTGTTACCTCACCTCAAGGGAATCATAATCTTGTGCCATGAGTCAATATAACATATGGTCAATAATAAATGAGTTCATATTAATGATCAAAGGTTAATCTTGACAAAATAACAACAGATTATATTAATGGAAGCTAATAAGCTATCATAAAATTTAAAGTGGAAAACTAGAACTAAAGAAATTATGATTTAATGATGGTTGTTGACTGACTAGTTGAGGGAGTCCTTTATGAATTTTGGGAAGTTTGGGATGCAGTGGTTGATGCTTCGTTATTTGCGGTTGAGTAATTTGAAAACAATGTGTATAACCTCTCTTTAACTTCTGAGAGCCTTTAATATATTTAATGCTCTCACGCACCCTCATAATAGAAGAATCAATTTCCTTCAAACCTTCTTGAATAATAAGACTAATTATATATACATAACATCTCGTATGAAAGAATTCATTATTGCATAGAAGACCACTTTCAAATTTAAATGGTTTCGTAGAAAATCAACATAAACGATATTTGTGAAAGCATTGTCAATAGTAATTCTGAAAAGCTTATTATCAAGTTTCCATTCAAGCAAAAAGTATTAAAGTTTCTCAAACAAAGCTAACCCATCATGAGGGGATAACATGAAACCAAAATTTATGATCTTTTTTCAGTTGCCAATTATTGTCAAAAAATATGCAGTCAATCAAATAAAACTATTTGTGTTGATGGAAGTCCACAAATCAGAAGTTAAAGAAATTCTACTCTTACAACTAGACAGCAGAGCTTGTATTTGAACTTTTTCATTGATGAACATTTTCTTACAGTCATGTCTTGTAGTATTTATATGTATAAATTATAAATCAAGATGCAGGTAATGAATTAATGCTCTAACACCTGCTCATGCATTCCACACTCTGAAATTGGAGATCATGCATAAATATGCATGCAGTAAATAAGCTACGAAATTCATGATAATCAAACTTATTTTCAACCATAAAAATAGAAGTATTGGAGTTATTTTGAAGAATAAGTTGACCAATATCATGAGTGTCCATTTTCTTATAGTTTTGCAGGTGACTTCTCAAATTTCACGTACCATTTTTACTATCACATAGGTAGATTTCCCCACCTTTCTTACATTTAAAGCGTTGTTTGCCATCCTTTGTAATTGACAATATTTCAAAATATTCCCAGATCGTACAACCATCCTCCTTTTCTTCTTTTGAATTATTTCCTCATTTCTTAATGTATTAGCATCACCAGTTTCCCCCACATACGTATTATTATACTCATCACTATCAAATTCAACTCCATTATCAATAGGAATGCACTCAATATGCTCAGAAGGATTACTTACAATAATTGTATTAGAATCCTCAATCTAAACACAAAATTATACATTTTTTTTAAAAAATAAAGTATGAGAATCTTGAAAATTCATTCACAAGACAGCTACAAGAATGAATGAATTAG